TTTGAGAGAGGCGGGGCATAGAGGACCTACAATAATGTACAGTATTTGAAAAATAATTAAAGCATGTCAACATATTAAAGCATTAAAGCATGTCAACATATTCTGTTACACCAAATACACAAAATAATGATCTTTAAAAAAGCATCATATGACCCCTTTAAGACTGTTTTTTTGGTCCAGGGTCACAAATGATTCTTTAGTGAATCACACTTTGTTTAAATGATTTTTATCCTTATCCAGTTATCACAACTGATTGGAAATCTCAAGGAAATTCAAAAAGTGTGGTAACTGTGGTATGAGGTGTAAGGATAATTTCAGTACTGATTCTGAACAATAAAAACCTCTGTTATTCCTATTGTTTATGTCTCTCTCTGTTTCAGACGGGCCAGGTGATGCTCAGTCCCCGTCTACGGAGGAACCCCCCACTCCTACAGAGAGCCCAGAGGTGAAGGAGGGTTCCTAGGTGGCTGAGTCTATGCCTAGACCGCAGAGATGGGGCCTCAGCCGCCCCCGCCTTTCCCCTGGAGCTCATCCTCTACCGACTGTTCCTGATGCCTGTCAGACTGCATTACAGGAAGCAACAGAGGGCAGCTAAAATGTGAAATGAAGGACAAGGTCTTCAAAGGGTCCGTACAATGAAAGAAAAAACAGAATGTCCAAAAAACAGGAAAGGAAGCAGAATATTGCAAGAGGATGTCGAAGAGCAATCCTCACTTTTTTTTAAACACAGACAAGCCAAAACGCGGGGGGACCTGCTTGGGAATGCTTTAATGAATTTTATGCATTTGTTTGACAAAATGCTGTTCTTTTTATGAGTTTTCTATCCAATAATGACTATTGTGAGTTACGTGTACATCCTGTTGTGGTTTGATATTGTATGATATTATGTGATCTTAGTAATATGTCTTTAAAAATCGCCTCAGTTTTTGGAAAGGGTAACCGTGTTTATGTCTCTTTCTGTTTCAGACGGGCCAGGTGATGCTCAGTCCCCGTCTACGGAGGAACCCCCCACTCCTACAGAGAGCCCAGAGGTGAAGGAGGGTTCCTAGGTGGCTGAGTCTGCCTAAACCACAGAGATGGGGCCTCAACAGCCCCCGCCTTTCCCCTGGAGCTCATCCTCCACCGACTGTTCTTGATGCCTGTCAGACTGCATTATAGGAAGCAACAGAGGGCAGCTAAAATGTGAAATGAAGGACAAGGTCTTCAAAGGGTTCGTGCAATGAAAAAAAAAAAAACCAGACTGTCCAAAAGACAGGAAAGGAAGCAGAAGAGGATGTCGAAGAACAATCCTCACTTTTTTAAACACAGACATGCCAAAACACTGGGGGATCTGCTTGGGAACGCTTTAATGAATTTTACGCATTTGTTTGAGAAAATGCTTTTGTTTTTATGAGCTTTCTATCCAATAATGACTATTGTGAGTTACGTATACATCCAGTTGTGGTTTGATATTGTATGATATTATGTGATCTTAGTAATATGTCTTTAAAAATCGCCTCAGTTTTTGGAAAGGGTAACCGTGAAAGAATATGAGCAGATGTTTGCGAATATTCAAGCGTCATGTAGCATTATCTTCAGCCTTCAAATAATAATAATAATAAAAAATAAAAAAACATATATCTGTGAGTAAATTAATCAGAACTGCCAAACACGAAATGCAGTATGAAAAGCATAAATCAGGAAGGGAATAGTAATCATAAAGTTAAGAGTATACAGTACTAGGAAAAAATAGTTTGCAGTATTTTAATTAATATTCAGAATGCCCTCCAAACACAGATTTTTAATTTCAATTTGAATGGGTCAGCTTATTAAAATAATAAAATCACTGAATTTAATCTCAGTGTGCAAAGGATTTTATAACTTTAAAAAAAACTTGTCCACTTTGTATTCTCTATAAACTCATACTGTATGTCATGTATAGAGTTTTGTATAGAGTGTTCTTACTGAACAGAGTGTACTTGCAATATATGTTTATGTTTAGTAGATCTTTGATGTCAGTTTGATTCAAACTCAAGTTTGAATAATTAAGCTAATCCAAACTATAGGATAAAAAAAGAGTACCTTTTTTGAATGTGTGGTGCGAGGATGTCTAAGAGCCATAACCTTTTTAAGGTCTGTATAGCCTAAACATGCAAACTAAAGGGAGGGATATGACTGTGATGTTTGACAAGTCCAGAGAGATCTTTTTTAGTGTCTGTGTCATAATATGCATATGTGTGAAACTGGTATTATTTAATAAGTGTGGGGCGTTTTGAGATGTCGATTTTTTTTGTCTATTTTAATACTCTGTTTATTTTACAGTATTGTCCCATTTATACTCTACACTGGTAACTTAATGTATCAGTGTAAAATGTTGTAATTGCCAAACTGGGATAAAATTGCCTTTGTATGTTTTTACACTACAGTAACTGTGCTGTTAAAAACACATCAATGAAGTCACACAATGTGTGTATTGTATCTAACATTACAAAGACAGAGAAGCTGTATCTGTATATACACAAATATAAAAAATTAATGATACTGAAAGGGGTCAGTATTAGAAAATCAATTGAAACCTGCTGTACCTCAGAATCCATTTAAATGCATTAAGTGCTGTTGTTTACCACCAGGTGGAGCCACTATTCACACGGCCCGGGGACATACACGCCATTTGTTGTCAATATGAAACAATAAGAGGGTGACCATGTGTTTCTCGGCAATAAACGTCTAATGTCATACACATATGCCATAAAATATTTAGCTTGGTTTTTTACAGGAAGTAAGGAGGCACCTGAAACTGTTCTTAAGTACACAATCAATACAAATGGACTGATCTTAGCAGGCTCTATACAGTCAAAAGGAATTTATTTCTGGGTAGTGCATCCAAGCAGTGGATATAAACATGTAAGTCAGGATAAAGGAAAGATCCTCTGCTGCTGAGGGTCTGTCTGCAAATCACAGAGCGCTTTGTGAGGCCTGGCAGTCAAAGATAATCTAGATTTGTAGGAAACACATTACGCATTTGAGAAAGGTCTTGTGGTGAGAAGGTCATTAACTCTTTGAAGAAACAATTTTCTCCAGAATATTGATGCTACACCATAGAAAACACCATAAAAAAGATACAGGGATGGTTTATAGTGAATGCAGTGGCTTAAATTTTGTTTTTTGTTTTCCAGAAGACTAGAAATATAGCACACTATAGTTATGTGAAGTAGTGACTGTTATAGTACTTTTACAGCACTAGCATGAACACACTCCATAGCATCTGATTTTGTTGTCTATGGAAGAAAGCTATAGTGGTTTGGAATGAGATGAAGGTGCATAAATGATGACAGAATTTTCTTTTTTGAGTGAATTATCCCTGTAAATCTTTACTGAAACCTGCATCTATATTCTTAATTATTATATTTTACACAATAGGAGCCTATTTTATTATCGTATACTTAATTCTTAGTACATGGATTGTTGTTTTTATTGAAAAACGTACAAAGACTGGCTGAGCTTGTAAATGGAGATGATGATGCGAAACGGTGCATAAGCTCAAAAAATGTATTTAAAATGAGTCCAACAAGAGGAGAGTATATGAAACCTGAATTTAATTAAATATATCAACACTCCCAGTTTTTGTTAATAAAACAAGTCTAAAAACAAGCAGCATTGTCATACAGCAAAATACCAGAGCAAATGTTGTGTGGGAAGCCTAGGTCAAAACGGTTGAAAAGCACTGATTTAGAGTCATCCAGTATTTTTTCTTTCACGCTCTCTGTTAATCATCTTCATATAATGTTCTTCATATGGCCTCAGTTTCACTGATTACTTAGACAGTGACATTCTACTGACATTATGGAGTGCCTACTATTGGCTCTCTAGTGCAGGCTTGGTGAGGACAACATCCAATAAAGATTAAAAGAGGCTTCTCATCATGATAAGACCCCTTCTTAAACATCTGCCCATCTGTGCCACTCTGAAAGTTTGAGACAACAACATCTGTGTTGAATCTGCAATGAAAAGGACATTTGAGGATTTGTGTCCTGCCTTGATCATTTAATCTCATCATATATTTGTCTATTAAATAAGTAGTGAATTTGAATTAGTCAAACCAAACAAAATGCATAGTGTAAATGATACACAAAGTTGTCCACATTTTGTGTATGTCTTAATAAGCATCTGCTTCCACTGTATCACATAACAATAAGCTGAAGTACAACTTCCCTATGGGATAGGAAATAGAGTTAAACTTCTTTGATTCTGCACGGGCTGATGTCCATATCCTATTTCTGACCCTTCTTAGTGGTCAAAACATTTGTTCCAGTCGTGTGAAAATCCACAACATAGTAACTTAATGAATTTGCTTATTAAAATATCATTAAAGGAATAGTTCAGAACAGATTTGGAGAAATTTAGAATTACATCACTTGCTCACCAATACGTCCTCAGCAGTAAATGGATGCTGTCAGAATGAGAGTTCAAACAGCTAATAAAAACATCACAATAATCTACACGACTCCAATTCAACTCCAATAAAGTTCCAGTGAAGTGAAAAGCTGAGTGTTTGTAAGAAACAAATCCATCATTAAAGTGTTTTAACTTTAGATTTATGCTTCCGGCCATAATCCATAATAAATTAAAAGTTCATCCCCCTTTGTTCTCTCACATCAAAATCCACTGACATATTTATTTTGGACTGTTTTCAACGGTGGTTGATCTGTGCATATTTCACTCCTGATTCAGACTATAGATGACTTTTTCACTGGAGAATGCAATATGGATAGATGCAAATCAGAGGAGTAAGTTTTCAACAAATTTTCATTTTTCAGTGAACTATTCCTTTAATGAATTTACCTCATAAAATATAATTTAAATATAATTTAAATGCTGCACTTTGCATTGTGGCTAGCAACACCCTTTAGTCGTAACTATATAATATGGTTCATGTACAAATACATGATATTTGCATGCATTGTGTTACGTTCCAGGGACATAGGAGCTTATTTTATTTATTTTGAACGATTTGTGTACAATGTGGGGCCTTGCATGTATTCCTCTCTTTCTCTCTCTCTCTATACAGCATTTGCTACGACAAAACTTTGTCAAAGGATGACAAAATCCCCCATTGTTAATGTACAAATAGCTGGAAATGCAATAAAAACTAATATTTTCATAATATTTTCACATGTATTCCTATACAGTGTTTGCTATGACAAAACTTTGTCAAAGGATGACAAACTCCCCCATCTGTTAAATGTCAACAACATCTATTATTATTTATATGAGTGATAAACATGGCAGACTGGCAGATCCCTTGACACATCCAGCACATGTGTTGACTTTGTGTCTGGCTGTCTGAGCATAGTGTTAGCTTGCATGTAGCCACCCAAATATGCTGTGAGGGAGTGTAGTCCCCCCCCCCCCCTCACCCTTGTATAACAAACCAACGAAGAATGGTGCCTGGGCCATTGCTATGGCAACATGTTGCCAAGGAAACTGCCTCGGCTAAAAAAAACCACACCACATTGCTAAAAAATTCACTTACAGATGTGTCCGTCTTGTATGTTTTGCACAAGGAACATTTTCAAGATTCTTTCATCTGATGTACTCGGAAATCTTGCAAGGACGAGGGCCAAACACTAACAGCAGCCTGCATGCATCACGTGATTCTGTTCGTCTTTACAGAAGCACAACATGGAGGGACGTGGATGTGGAATGGGTGAAGCCCGAAGCAAAGCTGAACAACAAAGGTTACATCCTTACAGCAGCGAGATACTATCACATCTGCCCACATGCGGTGCAGACAAGAAGCACACTTCATCTGTTAATAACTACATGTCGTGTGAAAGCACAGCTATTAGTGACAACCCCAGGCAGTCGACATCAGCCACGGCAGCCTCAGATCTTCTGTAATAAAGGTGGAGACCTTAACCGA